GACAGAAACTTATCTGTGGCACTGTGAACATTCATACCATCAAAATAGCAGATGATAAATAGATTTCCATCACCATCCCAGAACAAGGGGGTATATCCTCTTCTGGTGCAGAGTCATAAGTGGATAAGAATAGTGAGGAGATCTACTTTTGTAATTAGTGATTTGAGAATTATGTGACTGTTGTATAAATTTATCTTAACTCTTAGAAGCCCTGGTTCAAATCTTCCTGAGAAAGGATATTTTTCTGGACTTCTGCCCAGTAGCCAATACAGCATTGCACAAACAACAGTTTTCCAGTTTTCATGGTTTCTGTTTCAGAGACATTTCTAACTTGCCTATGATTTACAAGCCTCCCCATATCAGGCAGGTTTATGGCTGATTTGCATAGCACTGAGTTGGTGAGTGTGATAGAAATATGACTTTTTCTCTAATCAGCACTGAAGCCAATAGCAAGGTCCTGTGTTGGTGCCTTATCCTGTGATTTTATGTTGACTCTAACAAGTGTGTATTACGAGAGTGATTGTCCTATGTTGCAACCTAAATTGCTTATGAAATATATAATAGCTGTGATGATGATAAGGTGATGATGGGTAGTTAGAGAAAGTAGATTTGGAGCAAGCTTCCTCATGTTTGTTATTTCTGCAAAAATTAATTTTAAACAAGAAGAATAAAAAAAAATGCTTGTTTTCCAAGCAGATGTAAAGCATCAGAAAGTTTTTCTCTTTGGAATGAAACTGGTGGAGTCTTATTTCCTTCAGCAGTGTGAAGACTCACTTGAGCTATGATCCCATTCCGAGGTAGCCTAGGAAAAAGAGCACAATGAAATATTCAGCTGTGATGCTGTGCTGCTCTCTGTAATGAGCATCCCCTGTGCAAATGGGCTTCACCTGCAGCTCTAGCCTTAAGAATCTGCTTGATTTTCCTTCCTTAATGCCTCAGTCCATCTAATGTGTATTATTAATTGAAGCAGAGCTCTGTTTTAACCTTTTAAATTTTAACCTTCAAAAATGAGCAGAACAGCACTATCTGAATGCTCTTTGCAGAGATCTATATGAGCAGCAGTTTTTGTTAGTCTTTATAGTGTTCTTTGAAGGCTGTTTCTTTCCTCCACCTTCCCCCTGAAAGCCTATTGAACATGAGCATTGTGTTATGGTGTAATAAAGAGTGATATTTGTACTAATGTCCATACTGATGACTGGTTGAATGCAGAATTCTGTGCCTGGACTTTGTAATTTACCCATTAGGACAAATGTTTTCAATTATAAAATATTTAGACAGTTACTGATGTGGAAATTGCTTTATATTAAAGAGGCAAATCTGGCTTTAATTTGCATAACATTCTGTGTTGAGCTGATTTTAGCTGGATAACTTGTGCTCCTGCAAATTCAAATATTTGTCTGAATATATGAGGGATTTGTAAGAAGTCTTTGAGCAAATGATAATCCTACCAGTGCTTGTGAACTGCCTGATTTTCTTGCATCAAAACTGAATCAATAAACCCATATAAATGGCACCTTTAGATGAAAAGGATATTGTCTGAGGTTGCCATTTCTCATACTGCATGTCCCTTGTTCAGCCCAGCACTCTTACCAAGGAAGTAACATTTCTTTTTATGAACAGATTATGTATTAGCTTAATAGTAACAACTCTGAAAGTGTTCACTTTTCACTGTAATTAAAATGGCAGATTCTCAGCAGATAGAAATGTTACTCCGGTTACTAGCATGGGTTAAGGACTGCAGCCCTGTACTAGCACCTGTTGCTGCAATGTTTTTGTTCTGCTGTATGTACACACCTACAGAGTGCACTGCTGGAAAATGGCACTGTTTTGGGAGGCTTCTGCTGATGTTCCAGTCCTTTTATGTCTCTTAGATGAGCCCTCACCTCTGTCCTTGATGACTGAGAATGGCTGAACACCAGTTCCAGGACTCCCTTCTCATTGAAGCATTAAGATCTGGCACTCAGCAGCTGATTGCAGTAATATTTCTTTGGAGTGCCATCCTGTTCTTCCCTTCCCTTCCATTTCACACCTGGAGCTGGAGCTATTAGTGTTCATTCACTGCCTCCTGTTGTGGGGTTTGGTCCTGTGGAGACTTTCTTTCCCTTCCCATCACGGACAGGCTTGTGAAGGCTGCCATCCTGGCTCAGTGCAGAAGACTGCACCATGGATTTCCAAAGAGTGAGTTAAAGAATTGGGAATCTGAAACTGTGGCTGGACAAATCTGTCCACCATCTGTCTCTGTGGATAACCTGTGGGGAGGAGCCACATTTTCACTGGCTGGTGCCAGAAAGTTTGAGAAGTCTTTGAAGGATTTTATGTATTCTCTTTCCATCATCTTTGTCAAAGTCTGGCTTTTTTGCTCATGTTTCTGTAGCTCTGTGGACAGCACGTAGGATTAGGAGGTTTTTGCCCAGTGTTAGACTTTATTTCTAGTTTTGTGAATGATACCACTAGGACTGTGGTTTGACATGGCTTAGTGCTATGATAGAAGCAAACAGGATTCTCAGTGATGTTTTCAGTTTTTATTCAACAGATCTGTATTTCTCTTAAAGGCAAAGCACAGTATGAATCAGTCTCATCTAAAATCACTTAAAAAAGAGAAATAAGTAAGACATCAGGCACAAGAAAAAACTAAAGACACAGTAACCTGAGGCAGAATATCATGGCAAACATAACACTGACAACAGAGGATTTTTTACAAGTAGGTACAAGCTTTCCACACCACGAAAGACCAGTTGTGTGCTTTCCTATGCTGGTTTGATTCAGTTCATCTTAATGCAGGTGCTGCAGCAGTAAGACCAGCTGAGCTAACAGTACAGATTTTAGTACCGCTGAACTGCAATTTGTGAGAGACAGATAAAGTTGAAAGCATTCAGGTTTATCTTACTTGCCAGTTGTTCAGATTTCTCTGGTCTCTACCTGAAATGTGGGGTAATTTTTATCTTTCCCTGCTTTGTCACATGCTCCACAGTGATCTTAGTGTTTTTTTTTTCCCAGTTTAGGTTTTCAGTTTTTTTCCTTAAAGGTAATGAAATTAAGTATGTGTTGCAACAGTGGGAGAATTGTGAAGGTGGGAGAACTGGGAAGGTGGAAGTCCTGAGGATGGGGTTATGGGAGGAAATGAGAACTTGACTGGGGAATTTAGGGTGTGATCAGAGGGCAAGGGAAATGGGGACCATAAGGTTGGTTTGGACTGATGGGCAGAGTGTGGCTAGAGCACAGGAAGAGTTGCTTTTTGGCCCCATGAAAATTACACACTCCATAGGACTGGGAAGTTAGGTCACTCCCTACATAGGCTGTAGGATGCTGAGAATAAAACATAAACAGGGCCAGTATTTGCAAACTGTGGCACGTGTCTTCCCCATGGACAGTCAGAGCTGGGTTCTGGAGCCAGTAGCAGTGAAACACCATCAGCCTGGGTCATACCAAAACTAGTGTGTGAATGCACAACTGGAGGCAGAGCAGATTGGGAGGGTCTGGTATGGATAACTGTTCCTAAACTGACAGAGGGGAGCCCCAGAAATAACCTAGTGACTCCACTCAAATGAAAAGGAAAAAAAAAAAAAGTTGTAAGGCAAATTTAATCTTTCAGATTTTTGAAAGCACTAGACAGCCCCAAGGGTTTTAGGTTACTGCCCCTCCTAAAAGTGAGATGCTAGAAAGGTTCTAAGTAGACTTTAGAATGGCTTAGAGTTTTCTTACTCTGGCAGTCTGTGGTATTGCCTGTACATTGTGTTATATACAAATGGTGTCAACTTTTGCTCAGTTACAAGATGCTATTTGAAGGCCACTTGCATGGTTTATTCCTATAAAAAGCAGAGGCAAAGACTAAATTATTGTAGCAGAAGTTGCAGGCTTTACATGCCACCAACTTGCACACAGAAGTTGAAAATGATTACAAACAGCATATTCCTTGTTTCCAATGCAGGATTGTCCATCCACTGAGCTCAGTGTAAAGCTCTTTAAAAAGAGACTGACACATGACACATTTTTCTTAATGCATAAAAGTAGTATCTGCCACATACATTTCTTCCAGGTACCTAACTTAGCCAAATTGATAGCTCTTCATTTCAAGAAGTTTTAACACAAAGCTGAATTAAACCATATACATTTTAGCTATTCCTTGCGTTTGAATCCATGTATTCTTCAACATTTTCTAGGGATGGGCTTCATGGTGACAATTTATCAAAAGGACATTGTTGTGACTTATTAGCACAACAAATACTGCATCGATCGGTGCATTCCAGCTTAAAAAAATAATTAAGAATCAGAGGATATAATCCTGCTGTATCACAATAAGTACTGTAAATGCCTTCTTCCTATGAGTCACTTCTATCAGGCAGCTGTTTAAGTCACACTGTCACTGATACAGGAGCTGTTCTTTTCACCTCACTGATTTCTACTTAGAGTATTTCAGTGCAAGAGCAATGTTTACTTTCACCCTTTACAGATTTTAGTCATGTTGCTTTACAGCAAGCAGCATAAGTGTCAATCTATTCTTTTAAAAAAAGGTGGAGGCATGGGAGTAATTGTAGAGCAATGCTGTTACCTGTTGGTGTTTTGATTTGTCTTGCAAGTGATTAGTTTTTCATAGAGGTCACTAATGGAATCTTTTAGAAAACACTGATCTGTGGATAGTGGCACAGAGATAAAGCAACAGGTACAAATGAATGGCAGAGAGAATATTATTTCTGTCTCTTTAAGGTGGCATTCCCTCTCAGGATTAATTTTTCCAGTAAGTTTCTGAAGTTATTTTGTAAGCCACTCTGATTTTCCTCATTTTATAACTATTTAAATAATTTCAAACCATTTAATTGAATCTGGTTTTAATTTTGAAAAGTATGAATCAAGGCATCAAGTGAAAGGTTATTTTTTCTTTCTCATGCCCTTCCTTCAAACATGGCTTTTGCAGTTGGGGCTGTTATGTATTTAGATACAAATATATATTCATACAGCTGTTGTGTGTATCCTCTCTCTCTTCTCAACACAAAGCTGGATGTTTACAGCATGCACTGACCCACACTCATGCCATAACAACAACACACTATTTCCCTGAAAGTCTTTCTCATCTCCAGACTCCGGAAAGCATAAATTAGTGGATCGATGATTGAGTTGCACATGATCAAAACCAGATAGGTATTAAAGTGTGAAGTGTAGCAGACACAGTAGGGATTCATTGGGCAAGAAATTATAAGAATGAGGTGAAGAAAGAAAGGTGCCCAGCAAACAATGAAGACCCCAAGTAATATGGTGATGGTGACAGCTCCCTTCATGCAGGTGCGCTGGGAAGGTGCCCCGTCCACCGGCAGGGCTGCAATCCGCTTCACATGCAGGCGTGCAAACAGGAACATGTGAACATAAAGGGAGGCCATGAGAAATAGCATGGTAAAGAACATGGTAATGAGACAGACAATGACAGTTTTGCTTTCTGAGTAGGCAATGAATATGATGCCACAGATGATACAAGCAATCCAAATGACCACAATCAGGGTTAAAGCTTTCTTCACAGTCATGATGCTGTGGTAACGGAGAGCATAGAAAATAGTTATGTACCTGTCAATGGCTATAACCAAGAGGTTGCAAATTGAGGCTACCAAAGATATACAAATCATTGAGTCAAAAACATTGTCCATATGCTGAATAAAGTGGTCATCAATGATCAGATAGCCGTTGCTCAGGATTGCAATCATTATAGTCTCCAAGGCATTGGACATGCTTACTAACATATCTGCCACAGCCAGGCTACAAAGGAAGAAATACATGGGAGAATGTAGGTTTCCATTCTTCAGCACTGCAAGAATGACAAGGATGTTTTCCAGTAGGCTGATGATCCCTAAAGTCAAGAAGACCTCGGCTTTTATGAAGACCTGCTCACAAAATCCATCGTTGCTTCTGTTGCTCGGAATTGAGTCATTGAAGTCTTCAGTGACATTAAGCAGCACAGGCTGAAATGACAATGCAAAGTATGTGGTGTTCATTGTCAGCAAAGGAGCTGAATTAACAAGTGGTTATGGACCTGATAGAGCACAGGCAAAGAAAAAAACAGTGGGGAAAAAAGAGGAAAAGGAAAAGAAGTCCTTCCAAGCTGTTGCTGTGCTGGATGTAATCAAGCAGGACTTTTCTTTAGTCACTTTTACAAGTAGTAATATGAAAGAAAAAATAAAAATCCACGTTTATGGTGAGTTTTGTGTCAGTTACAGGCTGCTCTTCTTCATAAGAAAGTGAACTTTAGATCTTGCAGGTTTCAAACAGTTTTCTCTGAAGGGAAAAAAAATAATCATTAGCACATTGCTGGTTCTAGATTTCCTGATGATTAAAAGCAGGGAGTTTGCTCATCGGCTCTCGTCAGCTGGAGCCAGTGCAGTTCTGCTGTCAGTATGTTGCAGCTCAGTGAAGTATCTCGTGCTATTTCAGTGGCAAGAAAGGAAAAGAGAAGTAAGGGATTTTTAAATGCATGAAAGAAAAAAACAACTCCTACATAATCCGCGGTGCAGAGCAGTGGCCATTAGAGAGCAAGCACCTTTCTGACTGACAGCTGCAAGCCCCAGGTACAGCATCCGCACCGCTGGGTCCAGCAGAGGATCTAAAACTGTCTGGCGCCCTCTGCAGATGGCGAATAGGATGGATCTGCCTTAAAATTCCTCTGAAAAATGGGGTTTTCACCCAGCAGAACTTTATGCCTGTTCTCGGTAGCCAGGTCTTGCCAATGGGGGTGGGCAGGAGCAGGCAGCTGGTTTTTTTGTTTGTTTGTTTTTGTTTTTGTTGTTTTTTCTCACAGAAACCCATATTAACTGGAATTGTACTGATTTTAAGTAGGACCAGGGATGTTTCAAGGCATCATATATGATCAGGTAAGCATAAGGTAGATTTTCCTTACACATTATTCATTCAGACTATATCTCTGTAGTCAATTTTCTTAATTTGATTTCCTTTTTTATAGCACTCACTGATATCTGTACACTTCTGTATGACTCCTGTTTTTGCAGAAGTGCTTTAAAATCAAAGCCATACAATGTCACATATAGTAATCTTTGGGGTTTCTACTAAAGGTTTGTTATCTCAAAAAGTCACAAGTCTTTTCCAGTTTCATTTTGAGCCCACAGATTATTGAAATGCACAAATAATTCAATGCCAAGATTCAACAAATCTCAAATTCCAGATGATAGCTTTACAGGGATAATATCCAGTGCAGTAATCTTAAGCTGAAAAAATAGCTGGAGAATTGCCCACCACGTTGTCCAGTTAACATTTTGAAGATCTTATTTGGTCTTTCAGAGTTTCTGCCTAAGTTCACAGCGATGTATTTCAAAGCAGATAGCTTTAAACCACCCCATGCCTTTAATACCATAGCAGGGAAAAGATTATTTCCTGTATTTAAGCAGTTATGGATTTATGGCCAAAACAGCTGTTTATTTTGTGCAGTGAGCCCTGGTTTCTTCTTGTCAGCTTTCTCAAGCAGTTTATCAGGACACAATGACTATCACTGAGGAGGAGCTCGTTTTTGCAAGGCTGGACAGATGTCCCCCCTTGCCAGCTCTGTCTTGTGAAGTGGCAGGTGGTGGCTGAATCTTCCCACGGTGAGGGCAGGATCAAAGGCAGAGCTCCCATTCATGGAGGAAAGCTCACCCTGGAGAAACAGCATTCTTCTGGGCTTAGCTCTGGATTACCTGCTGATGGAGGAGCACTTATGTTTTAGGCACCAGCATGTGAACCAACTTATAGGAGTGCTTTGCCATTTACATTCAAGTCTTGTCTTCCCCATCTGGTTAGTCTCAGCAATATGGTGCATTATCCTGTAAATATTGACTCCAGAATGCTTCATCCCTTCTTGGCACACTGTTTCAAATGAATGCAACAGATTTCCCTGCCTTCCAGCTGAATCTGAGGATAAGCAGTAATGAAAACTGCTTCATCATGAATTTCTGAATGTATCTGACAGCGGGAATCAAGGTACCATTTGCACTGAGATGCAATTTGAAGTGGAAATTGCATGTTATATACCAAAGTGGATTAATGGCACTATTAGCTTTGTCATTAAGAGCTAAAAATAGTGAGCTAGAGCCTCATGTGTCTTGAGTGCAAGCTCCTACTGACTAAGGTCTTTGCAGAAATGGGAAGAAGCTGTGTTTGCACAAAAGACAGTGACATGTTAGGACTTACTTTCAAAATCTGTAAGAGGATTTCACTGCTCAGCACTGGAGAATGTATGTGATCTGAAATTTTCCAATATATTTTGCAGTAACATATTAAAAGAAATTGCTATCCCCCAGCTGAAAGTTCCTGCTTCATTTTCAAATGCACAGGTAGTAATCTTGTCTGTTAACTGAGCCATGGCAACTGTTGCAAGTCAGAGCATATAAAATGAAGTAATACTTGGTTTAGGTCCTCCCTCCACCAAAACCTAGTGAGGATTGGGAAGTTAGAGATACTTTTGTGTTCTCCCCAAATTTTGCCTTTTGTGTAGCTGTTCCCACCTCTTGTGCCCAAGGCCTCCTGTGAGATCCTTAGGAGATTCAGGATGGAAGTCATGCAGTGGGGTGGGACCAGTACATCTGAATGTCTCATTGCAGTTCTCTTCATGTACAGAAAGTGTCATTCCCTGTTATAAATTGATGAGTAAAAAACTCTGTGTTCCATGATTAATGTTATATTTCACAGCCTTCTCTCCAAGTATTGTGAGAGTATGTTTATTTGACACCTAGGGAGCAGTATCATCTTTCTGCTGTGTTCTTGCTTGTTTTTTGGACTCAAAAAAACAAGCTCACTGTTGAAATTATTGACATTGTTTTTTAATCTTCTGATGTGCTGAATGAGAGAAGTCCTTGGTTTCTGTCCCTGTAGTTGCTATGCAACTGTCACTTACTCTGTAGTTCATGAGGCAATGTTTAAACTGACCAGCAGCTGGGGCCATAGGTTGGAGGAGAATAGGTGCAAGGGAAGGGAAAGCATCTCTTGCAGCATTAAGATCAATCCCCTGCTTTGTTAGTTATCATTGATGATTATATAATCTCATTCTTATTTTATTATTTCAAATTCCAGCCCCAAATCCCTAAACTGTATTGTTCCATGTAGATGGAGAGGAAGAATCTGTGTTTCACCAATCTGTATGATACAGGTGATAAATCTCTGTGGTTTTGGTCTTTTTCTTTGCTAGTTAAGCTATTTAATCTTCAGGAAAAGGTAAAGAGAAAGTAACATCCATTGCTAAGAGTGGATAATGGAGCTTTTTAGAGATAATTCCCTTGTGAGAGTATTGAATGAAAAACCTCTCTTGTTTAACACTTGTCATGACATTCAAGTTGATAATGCCTGATAAATGCATATAATTTTGCTTTATTTTCTCTCTTTTTTTTTCAACAATAGTTTGTGGCAGATGAAATTGGAAAGTTTAATGGAAGTTAGAGGATAATAAACAGATGGTTGCCCACATGCAGCAGGTAATTACTGCTCTCCTGTGATTCCAAGTAGACAAAATAATGAAATACTCTTGAAGACCTCTCCTCAGTTTCATTCTTTTCAGGAAAGGTCATAGCAGATAAAATATTTTATCTTAACAAAGCAAAAGACTTCTGTGCATATTTCTGGAGTGCCAATTACTTCAGACTTTAATTTGGAAATACTTGCAAACATGTGCTTGAATTAATCACCTGGACACCTAATTATGGCTACTTAGCTCTTTACTGACCTACAGAGTTATTTGATGCTGAAGAACTGACTTAGTATAATTTTAATTTTTTATACGAAAATACTTGACAAAGGCAATAAATTAAAATTCAGATCTTATTCACCAAATGACTTGTAGATTATGAACCTCTTGAATACTGACTTAGTTTAAGAAAAAAACTGCTTAGTATTTTTATCTGAACTCATTAAGATATCACCTGTTATAATAAATAATGGAAATATGATTTGGGCTGTTTATTACTTAGAGATTATCAAACTCCAACAAAACTGGAAGTAGGAGCCTCATTGAATCTGGCAAAGAGAGCCTACAGTGACACCACTTCAAACACTCAGATGATGAAGTGCTGTCTACTAAAATGCTCTGTTTTTCTTCAATGTCTTATGGTAAGAGTATTAAAAATGCTCTTAGGAAGCTGTCAGAGTCACAGATTGTAGATTCACTTGCAATATTAAATATCAGGTGCAATACTGGAAGAACACAATTGAAATATTTTACAGAAGTTGTAGTTCATGCCCTTCACATTCATGTCCACAGCTGATAACATTATAGTCTGACGCTCTCTGATCTGAGGTGAGAATGAATCTGGCATCAACTTAGGTCAGTGGAAGTTGAACATGTTTGTACCAGAGTAATGGAAGAGACTTTAAAATTGGAGGGGTAGATCCTCACCTGACAGTACCAAGGGAAACCCTGTTGAAGCAGAGCACTAGCAGTTTGCATCATTTAGGATCTGACCTGTTGAATTTTCTTTCAACTGTGGCTGGAGCAAAAAGCACCAGTACTGCAAATGAAGAGGTGCCCTACCAACCTTTGTGATTAGTGAGGAAAAGCAACATGCACTAGTGATTGCAATGAGGTGGCTTTCAGATGAGTGCTTCTATAATTTCAGCCAGCTAACAGGTTAATTTAAACAGATTCAACTTTGGGACATTACATACAATTTTCCTTCTCATCCAAGGGTAAAAAGAGACAAAGCAGACCTGATTGCAAAACACTTACCAGCACCTGCAAGTGCTTTGTCATATTCAAGGGATTTCAAGTGCTTTAGACTAATAATACTCAGTATCAGTTTTGTCCTCTCATTTACAGAGTGAAAGACAAGAAGTGATTGAACCAGCTGTATTCAGCTTCATCAGTGCCAAGAAGCCTTGGAATATCTTCCTCATCTCCCTGGAAGTCCTTGTCTTCATAAATATTGCCCTGCAGTGCTGGGGCTGAGCAGTGAGTACATTTGACCTTTTAAAGCCTAATAACCTAAAGGTTCTGACTGACCTTATTCATGGCACTGTAGAC